TCCCGGGGCACCGACACCCGGGGTCCGCGAAGGAAGGGGGCGGGGGGGGAATCCGCCCAGGAGCGGGCTGGGCTGCCCAGTGCCGTGTCCGCCCTCACCCCAGCCCGGCCCGAGCAGCCCTGGGTTCTGCGCTCTCTGCACGCGCCCGGGCAGGCAAAAAGTTACTTGGTCACTGCGCAGACATCCGAAGGACTTTCGACGGAGCCCTTCACCCAAGGCTCCCCCATAATCTTGGCTGCAATGTGTCGAAAAGCTGCTCCATCTGCGCTGGCTGAAGGAGAGCACGTCGAGAGTAGGAATACACTGAGGGATTCTCCGCTTTCCCACATGTTTCGCCTGCTGGAAGGATCTTTTCTGCAGCTTGAGTCTTTTCAGGCTGTTTGCAGGAAAAGGGAATGAGTAATGAAGCGATGGAGTTTGGGGACCCACCAAGTTGTTCTGGACAGCCAGACTGAAAGCTGGCCGTGGGAAGCAGCAGAGGGATGGTTACAGCACTGGGTGACAAAACAGCGGGCGACACGCTGTATCAATAAATGCAAAGCGGTGTTCGGGAGGAGAAGGACAGCCCTAACTACCTATGCAATGATGAGCTATTGCCGCTCAGGAGAAAGATCTTGGGGCCACAGTGGATAGTCCTCAGAAATGACAGCTGAGGAATCAGCAAAGGAAAGCCAGGACTTACTGGATAAAGAAGGGAAGACACAAACCAGCTACAATACATATGGAGGCCTCCCTTCATTGAGGTGGCATTCCAGGAACTAGAACAAACTGGGGGGAGGTGGGGAATTTAGGGACTGGGGGATGTCCGTAGGCACCACAGGCCCTTGTGGTGAAAACTGCCATCTTACAGTTTTCACAGGATTCCCAAAGGTTTTGCAGGAAGGACAGGCCAGACACTAAAACGGTGCCAGCAAAAACACTGGGATGCAGAGAACTGAACTGCTCAGTGGCTAATCCCAGCAGATACTCGACCGAGAAAAGGCAGATCCCTTCCAGTGCAGCAGGACTTGGGAGCAAGACAGAGGAGGCTGCTGACAGCCTGTTCTGTTACTGTTGGGAGGGCTTGGTTGCAGACCAAAGCCATCTATTTTGAGTCCTCCTTGGCATTGCTGTCATTGTTTTCACTGCATTGAAAGGTGAAGAGGAGAGCTTTACAGTTTCACTGGGAGGGTTGCAGCGGTAACTGGCTGTTAGAATGTGGTATCTGCCCAGTCTTGGGGCTGCCCAGAACATCCTCCATCCAGCACATCATCTGCTGCCCAGCTGCAGAAAGATGCAGGCAAAATTCTTAAAACAATGTTCCAGCTTATTTTCTATTTGGAAGTCTGTTTACTCATCCTGAAGAAACAGTTGCTAGTAGAGGGGGAAATAGCCTTAATACACTTATGCATTTTCTACCCAGTTTGCTTGATTTTTTTATCAAACTATTTGAAGGTGATCACATATTCTGAAATGTGGCTGAAAGCTCAAGTTAGGATTTGCTGAGATGGAAGTATGGCCCAAGGCCTTTGAAGGTTCTTCCTGAGTGGAGACAACAGGATTCCCATCTGCTGCGATTTTGGTTGCCAGCTCCTTGTATTCCCTGAAGGCTAAAATTAAAAATCCCTTGCCTGCAAATCCCCTTTTTGAATGAGGCAGGGTTGTCAATGCTTTTGTTAAAGAAATTCACACGTTATGTATAGATGGGAGTGACAAAACTCATGGCTGTATTATTGTATTTAAAAGAAACCCAGCGCCTGCTTTGACTTGAAGAATCCACACAGTAACAATTTTGGATTTGACAGTCATATTTTAGTTATTCAGCAATACTGTTTGGAGCAAATACTGCAGCATAAACTGGACATGGCGTTAAGAGAATTTCTTGTCTTAAACCTATAGAAAATTGACAGGTTGAAGTTCAGAGGTTAAGAATCAATTCTCAGCTGCTGTTGTAGAGATCCGTCCTACCCTCTCTTCTACTGGAGTCTCTTACGCAGAATAGAATCTAAAACCAAAAACCTATTGTGATTCCTTTTTGTTAGAAACACAATTTGCCATCTTTGGGTCAAACATTAGATTCACTTCCTTAAAAGCTGCCGTATGTCTGGGCGTGCATCACTTCTTCACATTCTGGGCTGTTTCTTGGCAACAGTAATTGCCTGACAGTCCTTAAATTTAATAAATCAAACTGAAGAACATGCCATGACCCTTCAGCTACCACAGTTGGAGGTCTTCTGCTCCATGCACACTTTCTTAGCCCAGGCTCTTCAGCCGTGCTCTCTCCACATGGGCCTCTAAGCCAAATGCCGGGTCTCTACACCAACAATAAACCCTTTAAATCCCAGGAGCCAGCTTCACTATTCCAGTTTTTCGTTTAACCTTTTAGTTTAATACAGGATATTTGCCACAAAAAAACCCTCATTCAGCAGTAGAAAAGTATTTATAAATGGATCACCTATCCATTTAGATGCATCCAGAGAATTTCACAGTTCCTCAGAATAAAAACCACCTGTGAATGCAGTTCTCTGCCTCTGTTTACCAGGGGCTTTAGGTACTTTGTGGTTCAGCCCTCTTCCAGACACGGTAGTGCTCAGATTTGTTTCTTCTCAAGGAACATGCCCCTTTGCTTTTACCAGTGTTCTCTTCTTGTAAAGAGCACTGCAGATGTTTATCTTTCTTCCATTTTTATGATGACTTTAATTTTCACCAGCCTTACTTCAGGAGTAATCGGATCCTCCTCTTGGCTCTGCTGAGCAGGGTGCCTGTTGTGACCATTGCCCCCATGGCGTGCAGTCTAGAGGAGCTGATGCCATCTGTGGTTTTTCCCTGAAGGAGGCATACTGGCCTTCCGAAGGTGACACAGCCCCTCTATCCCGTATTGGTGGGACAAACATATAGACAGAAATCCTGATGTGAGGCCTGGCTCAGAAACTGAACAGCAGGAGATCCTGCAGGCTGTCTCACAGGATGAACTCCAAGCTTCATCACATAGGATACGTAGGCTAGGCTAACGTATTCTGGTTGTAGGGAGGTCTAGCAGACATCGTCATCATCATTGTGCAGATGGGAAATACAGTCAAAGACCTTTCCTGGGGGGGGGGAAATTATGTTCAGCTGAGTTCAAGCTAACAAGAAAGGTTTGTTTTTAATAAGTTAGCTAACAAGCAAAATAAATCAAAAATTTTCAATAGGACTGTATGTACATCAGTTTTCTCACAAGTCTGGATACTCAATCAGCTCAGAAAAGTCAGCTACAATTATGCAGCTTCCAAAGGCATGTACAGGTTCAATAATTAAATTAAATCTCAGCTATAACAAATTGAACTTAGATGCAACTTGGCCTTTTCCACTATAAAGTGGTTGTTGACTTTTCACCTACTGCCAGTAATAAACTACCTATTTCAGAAAAGGTGGCTCATTAATGTAAGAGAAGGAACATCTACATCACCGTTAAAAATAATTAGGATTTGCTTGTTATTTGGATCTTGGCAGCAACTGTAAAAATAAAGAAATATAGTGATTACAATTAAATTAAGATTAAATTGTGCAAAGTTTTCATGCTTATTCAGATGGACAAATTTCTACATGAAAAAGAATATCAGGTGTGCCAAAAGCTTTACACCTGTGCTTTTAAGAGGAAAGCTCAGACAAAGACTCTTATCAGTAGAGAAGCAGTAAAAGAGGAGAGAGAGGCTTTCATTAAATCTCAAGCTAACAAGTTTGATTTTATCTCTCTTCCGAAGTAGCAAATCAGTTTCTGGCAGTCAATATAGGGGAGAAATATAAAGAGGCAGAACCAATCTATTATTTTTATAATATATTGTTAAACTTTCATCCAGATACGAGTAATTATTTGCCTTGTTTTACCTGTTCAACTTATGATCGGTTGGATGTGGCAGCAGAACATCAGAAAGGAAATGCACAGTACTTCATAGTAGAACAAAGAGCCGAAAGAACCTTATAAAATTAGGACCCCAAATTGGTGGTGAGGGGAGGGGGGGTAGCCAACAATCAGCATCCTGAGGGAGAATAGAGGCAGGCAGTGCATTTGCTCTGCCATTGCACTGGTAAAGTACACATATTTGATTGCAGAGCTTTTCAGCAATGGAAGTTTTTCCCCAAAGGAGTGTTGATGAGCAGTAAGACAAATACGTCTTAAGGACCAAGTAAATGCCACTTTGTGAGCATCTCATATGTGTCCAAGGGCACTGATGGGCAAAGACAAACCTCACAAATCTTCAGCATCAAAAAGAATAGATTAGGATTAAGAAGTTCTTTCCCTAGCATGAATTTCTGTAGATTTTTTCTTCCCAGTCTTGATTTATAATCCTCACCTTCTAGAGTAGAACTGTCAAGAATTTTGAGAAGTTTATATGTCAAAAATGCCAGTTCATCTGAACCAAAACTTCTGATAAGAGGGGTGATTTTCAAAAGATTTATTGACAGGAAACTATTTTTTAACTTCAGTTTATGTGGATACATATACATAAACAGTTTGACATTTCCCATGTGAACTGTTCTGCATCTACTGTTCAAAGCAAATTTTGAAATGTGAAACCTTTTGAAACTCATTAAAATAAAAAAGGGGTGGAAATCAAAACTCAGTGTTTCAAAATGAGAATACTGTGAACAAATTGATATTTTTTTGTTTATTTATAGACATTTCTGCTTTTCAGCTTAATTCAGGACACTGAGGTGCTAAGGCTTGGACAACGGGCCCAAGCCAGAGTTGACCTATAGATGAATCCTGTATATCTTATAACTGAAAACCACTGTGCTAGGTACTAAGTTATAACAACCCACTTATGCTGAGGTAAAAAGTGCTAAAGCATTGAAGTACCGAAGCCTGAACAACAGGCCCCAAGCCGAAGCTGCTAACTTAGTCTGTAATCATTAACAAAGTATGTAAACTCGCTAGTGAAAGATGCAGCTTAGACAAAATATAATCAGGAGTGAGGAGAGAATGTACCCAGCTTCCCTTGTTTAGCCTTGTTCAAGGCTGAGAACCCACGTATCTGCCCTTGTTAGAAACTCCCTTGGTTTCCCCCCCCGGAGCCCTGGCCAGGCTTTGGGTGGGATCCAACAGGAGAATGAAACCAGAAATTTTCCGCTCAAAACAAAGGTGCCAGCTATTGTGGCCTGTCGATCTCTGGTATATAAGGCTGGGCCCGTTTGCAGCGACTGTGGAAGCCTCAGCTATGGGTGGACGCACTGCGTAGGATTTCCCCCTTGCCGGGACAGGCTCCCCAAACCCTCGCTGTAACCGGGGCTGCCCAGCCACTGTGGATCTGGATGATGATAATATATGCAAGTGGTGATGTATTTTTCTTAATCTCCATTCTGTCTCTAA